AGAGATAGGCTTCATTATTGTTTGATAAGAAAATCAGAAGAATCTATTTCCATAACAGAGGCCAGCAGCCAGCAGAATTACCTGTGTTATTTCCTACTCTGGCAAGTGTTTGATATAAATGAACTGAGACAAATGTTACTGTCCTACCTATTTTAAAAATATATATATTTAAGCACTTCTGTCTTTCCCAGTGATGCTATTAGTTATATTTCAATTGCTTTAGAAACAGCAATCACGCACCACGGACATCACATGAAGACTATTTCTTTACAAAATCTGCTTTTTCATTCCACTTCACAAATGTGCAAACTGCAGCACTGAAATGCCTGGTGTTGGGAAATAATAATCAAGTTCCATCTGTCTACATGAGATAATTCAAGAGGGAACAAGTACATGACAATTTGATGATTAAGATCCCCAAGAGGCTAACTCTGTTGGAAATAGGAATGGCTTTCCTCTAAATTCTGAGCTTTAATTTTTTTCCCAATTGCATGGTTTCCTATCATTGGTTACTCCAACAGACTTCACAGGATACCTTCAGAAAAAAAAAAAAAATCTTTCTGACAGTCACTTGCCAATATTTTTAGGCAATAGCCTTAGAGGAATTTTCCAAAGCAGGTGATAATTTTTTAAAGTATTATAGTAATCTAATAAAGGTTTACATGCAGAAATTGATGGACCACAAGCAGTGGACTTCTTGCCTAGAAAATTTAAGACACTAAATATTAGAAGTGCTTGTTAGCAATTCCAAAAAGAGAGTTTTCTTTTTGAAAAAAATTATATTCTGATAGTAACAAAACCTCAGAAATGTATGCAAAACTTACAAGCACCTGACAAAACCAGAAACCTCATGTGTTGATTAAACAATCCATTTGATATGATTTTTTTGCCTTTAATGCTATAAATTAATTTTCTCAAGTGTAGTGAGAATTAAAGTATTCCAATATAATGAACAACCTTCACAGGGGGTCCAAATCTGACTCTTGATTTTCTTTCTGTTTTTTTTTTTTTAATTAATCAGGTGAACAGAAGCAAATGATGGGTTATTAATTGAAAATTCAATCACCTATTCAAGCAAAATTTGGGGGTATATCAGATATCTAAGATACTTTTCCTATACTACTGATTTTGTTCTAAATTTAAATTAATAATCTAACATGTACATGTTATATATTATAAAACATGCTATGTTTTCAATATAAAACACAGAAATACAACAGAGAAACAATGATATGAATGAAGAAATGAAGGTAAAGCCCAAACTACAAAATGTGAACAAATATCAGCATCTGAAAACAATGAGAATAAAAATGAGTATGTGTGTGTAGGCCAATCCTGCACTTCCATAGAATAATTTCAGATTATTATTAGGAGCAAAGAAAGTGTATTAAAAGTGTAGATTCACACAGAGTCATTGGGTTTAGAGCCAAAAGGATCCAGTGCAACCATCCAGTCTGATTTTCCCAGACTGTATTTCCTTCACCAAATAAAAACTTTTTATGGTTGTGCAAGCAAAACTTTTAAAAATTATGTTAGCTACTGACAAAGAGTTGTTGCATAACAAAGAATCTCCTGATCTTCTGACCTCTTGCGGCATTTTTCTTCACAGGCAAAATGTAGCAAATAATTTTCTTGTTAAATCTCTCAAGTAGTGTTTAAGACTGAAGAGTTTGGTGTCATAAGAATAGATTTTTTTCACGCTGGTAATAGGAATTATTTTTGCCCTCATTTTAACTTCTGAGTAGAAAATTCTTGACTGTGGAAGAGATGTAAAAGATTCACAGATGAGTGTCGGAACTCAAAATGTCCCTCAGACATTTTCAGAGGTTCCAGGCCTTGGTCAGAAGCATTTTAGACCCTGGCAAACAGCAGAAAACAGCTATGATTTTGAGTTTGAACCATGGAATGAATTACCAACTTTAAAGGTGGAACAAGCAGTCACAGAGGGTTAGATGGTATAGTAAAAGTAGTCACAAATTAGAGGGTAAAATTTTTTAGTATTGTACAGGGGGGTTTTAACACCTGTACAGGGGGGTTTTACTTTGTACAGGGGGGTCAGGAGTTCTAAGATGGAGGAAAGTGGGCCTGATCCTTTTCTTCCTCCTTCTTCTTCCTTACCTCCATGTTCTTGGTGATGTTGGCATTTTTCTATTGGTTTAGGCTGGGGACACACTGTTCAACGTAGATGATAGATATTGGCACATTATTGTAAATATAGTACACGTAATTTCTGGTGTATAATGTTTGCACCATCCCACTGAGGGGCAGAGCCCCACACGCTGCCCTGCAGGACAGACCTGCGGCAGGGCAGCAGAACATGTTATAGATAAGCAAAAATAAACAACCTTGAAAACAGCACAGACGAATTATGGCTTCTTCTTTGGCAACGGGGCAGAAAGACACAGACTTTCTACAATCTCGGAATCACCAATACCCACAGATTCCGACAGATGAGGAGAGGCTGCTTCCACTGACTTTTTTTTTTTTAAGTTTTGGACTAATTATTTGATCTATCACTTCTATTATTTTCCACATCTATCATTTAGCAGCAGCATGAGCAGACCACAGGGTGTAGGAATCATGTCTGAACAGAGACAAAAAACTTCTCAGAACATAAAACAAAACAGAGCAAAGGTGAAGAAGTAAAAAGCATGAGAGAAATATATTTGCAGAAAGGCATCTTGGTTCCTGGGCTCTAGTGGGTGGGTATAGCCTTTTCCACTCACACAGCCTGCTTAATTTACAAGGATTCTTTACAAACACCAAAGCACATTTGTTTGTATTAGAACGACTTTCCACCAATTGTAGAACCAACTGGATCTTTCCTTTTCAAGGTTTATCAAAGTTCAATTGACTCTGGCCAACATTAGTTAGTGACTTTGGTAAACTTTATATCTGGTGTTTAAGACAGTAAATCTTCACTGATTAACATCTCACACAGCGTTTATTCCTTTGGAAGTTTGGCTCACTCAACTTACAGTTTTTGAAATGGCAAAACTAGAAGCCTGTATTACAATTTCATAAAACAGTTCAAGTAAATCACAAGGCAGCACAGTGCACACACAGTCACTGGACATCTTCTGGGAAGGCCTAATTTTCTCAGGAAAAAAAATCAATTACCACATTCTTACATAATTTTCTGAGGATAGGGTAAGGCTTGTGAAAGCTGATGAAGCTAGCCAAGACTAAAAGATTTTAGTGCCCAATTTTATGTGCCCATTGTTGATGGTTTAAGTGGAGACAACCTTTTCATACACATGCAGCACTTTAAACTATACTGCCTGAAAGGCTGAAATCCAAAAACTTCATGCTTTCTTTTAAGATGGACAAGATGAAAACACCAGCAGAGTGAGTTAGGCACTAGAACTGCATGCCTTAACCTTAACCCTTACTGAGGAAGAAACTTGAATTAGGATCCAGTGCCAAGTTTAGCAACCATTTTCATCCATATGTGTATTAGTGTCAAACACAAATGCATAATCTGGTATGGCATTTCAATTTGCTCAAAACCAGTGGTGAACAGTCCAGAGATTATTATTTGCTGAAACCATTCTAGTTATCAGTTAAAAATCTCATAGACACACCTGCTGCTAGTGACTAGTGAGTTTAAGTAATGACTAAAGTATCAAACACAATATCAAAGCTAGAAGAAATTTCTAAAAATGCTTACTTGGACTATTATTCCAAGACCTTAAACACACATTCAGTTTTAAGCTTGAGAACACAATTCTTAAACTTGCCTTAAATCTGAGCTTGATCAAACTAAGCATACACAGATTCAGCTTTCTGGAGGCGTGCTGAAGGCTGCTGAGAGCAGTTTGCTAGGCCCAGCAGTTGAAATAAATAGCTGCTGTTGTGAATTCACATTTGAAAACTGCCTCCACTAATTGACACTCTGGTATTTCTCCTTTCTCAGGGATCACAGTGCTCATGCTCAAACTGCTGAGGCCATATCAGTGCTCTTTGTCCTTCTAATCAGGCACACCTGGACCTGTCTAGCAGGTATGAACATCATGAAGCCTTTGGTGGAAAAGGCATGGGAAGTCTCTGGCTGCAGAGAAGGGATGGTGTGAAGCTTCTGTCACTGATGTGTAGCACTGGTCTGTCCTCTGTTCACCTCTGTGTGGAAATCCGGCTGGTGCTGAAACCCTGGGATGAGTCACAGTGTTTGGATACACCCACAGAACCAGGGATGGCAAAACTTCTATATAAATAGCATGCTAGTTGAAAAGAAACTGAAACCAAAACCTAAACAAACACCCTACACTTCACTATTTTAACTGTTTGTTATTTTCCTCCCACCTTCAATACCCAGCCAGGGAGGATGAGTTTGGAATTCTAGGTTAATAAAGCAGTATCTGGAGACTGCTGTTCTCTGGTAGCCTGTCATTAATTCTGTCACTTGTGCACAGACCTTCTTTTCTTGCTTGCAACAATAAAAAAATTAATTTCTATTTCTTAATTCTTCTTGCTTGTGTCTCTTGAGTTTTCCTAGCATCCAGCAGCCATGTAGATACAACTACTGGGGACCCTAAGCACAATGCAGTCAGCAAAGAACATTTTACACATCAAGCATTTTCAGTCTCTTTTACTTACCAAGATTTCTAACCTATGAAAATTTCCTAACAAGAGCAGGATAGAATGGGCCCTTTTTCTTAATAGGTGGTCACTTTGCGGAACAAGGTGTTTTGCTAACAGGAAAATGTTATTAGTTCTGGCTAAGCAATGACTTTCATAATGCAGCATTTAATTAATAAATGTAATTTATATACACACAGTGAGCCATAAAGATGACAGTATGCTCCCAGAAGATTTTTTGGTAATTAAATTTTATATCTTCCCAAGCATTATTCTCTGTGCTCAAAAGAAAATATTGACAGCTACTCTTTTAATTTTTTTTTTTTAATCTTGAACTCTGCTGATAAACAGGCTACATTGCCAAAAATTACAAAAAAAGAAATGAAAATATGATGCTAATACTTTTGTAACACATTACTTACTGTGGTGGCACAGTGGATGTCTTTCCATACATTGGCTTCCCTGGAGAGATCTGAGACTTCAAAAAGGTTATCAAGAATAACTTCCCCAATCATGTCATGTCTAGAAAATCTGTCAAAATCATAAACACTGAAATGCAATTTCCTGTTGCTGAGTTGATCATAGGCTACAGGAAACTGAAAGGTTTCATCAAAGACAGGATTTAATGTCTTTCTGTGAACTCGTGTCTGAAACTTCTTTTTCCTATCAGGAAGCAGATATATCTTAACGTAGGGGTCGGATGTTCCTGTGAAGTCTTTAGCAGGCAGATCTAATGCTTTGACAATTGTGACAGCCAGAAGTTCATTCTCATAATCGTACCGAAGAGTGAAGTTAAGTTTTCCACATGTTTTCACATCTTCTTGCTGCCCATCAGAATCCACGGACTTCTGTTTGTAGAGTTCTGGTTTTATTCTCCCAATGCTGGTTGTGGTCTCTCCCTTTTGCAGAACTGGGTCTATCCCCATGTTAAAATCAACACTGGACACTTGCATCTGCCTTGGCAAGTGCCTCCTGAAAGAATTGTGCCTGCACACACACACAGACACACAAAACAAGCCATGGTTATCTCTGGGAAAAGACCATCTCTCAACAGAAAATATAAGAACAAATTAGTGAAAAGACTAAAAGAATTAAAAAATAATCCTCTCCACACCCCCTTCAGTGTTTTGCAAGTGTTCAAGCATCCTTGAGAGGAAATGATCATTCAGAATTAATTTCTTGGCCCAGGAGACACCCACTGTCCCAGAAATAAATATATTTATAACTTTGCTTTCAGACTATGCAGCTGAAACTGAATTCATGTACTTTCACAGAACGAGCTGACAGCTCCAACATCCCATGATCCCACTTTGCTAGGGCCTGAGTAAACTACGGTCAAACAGAAAAAAAAAAAAAAAGCACTTGCAGAATTTTCATCAGTACTCTCTGGTTTTTTGGAGGCATTCCATGGTGATTTTCCAATTAAATATTTAGCAGCCTTCACACTGATGACTGTAAAAGGCACCTGAAAGGGAAATGCAGAGCTGTGTCTGGAGGTTTTTAGCATGGTGCTTTGCCATCCTACAACATTTTATGTACACCTGCCTGGTATCTTCTACACTGAGGTGCAGGCTGCCTTCTCCAGAAGCATTGGGAATATTTTGTTCTGCTTGCAATGTTCAGAGTTTTGCCAACAATTTTCTGCCATTGCTGCTTTTTCTTTTTCTTTTGTTCTCATGGTCTGCTGTGCAGCGTATTATAAAGCTGATTCCTGCGCCACCAGCAAGAAACAGCATGTTAAATTCCTTGCAATTCTGAATACAATGTTGCATAAACATATGTGTTTATGGGCTTATCTTTGCTCATGAATCTGAATGGAAATTTGTGCTGTTCCTACTAAGAGTGAAATCAAACCCCTGGTGTGCCATACAACCTTAGAGTAGTATAAAAACACTGGACAAAAAGCTTCACAGCATTTATCAGCAGCAGATGCCATTATGACTACACTATCCAGTCTAGTTTTTAGGCATTTTCACATTTTCTTGGTACTTCCCTACCCTAACAATCTGTGCTACAGAAGCTTACCACCTCCTCCTGTGAGCACACTTAGTTGCCATTAAAAAACAATCCAATTGTCAGAATTTTCTCTGCTTTTTGCAATCAATTGCTTATTAATGCCATAAGTAGCCTTGCCTTATTGCTTGGTTTCCCTGTTGTGTTGTGTTCTGAAAACAAGAGGTGTCACAGCTGTGTGTTTCCTTCTTTAAAACAGAAATGCAAATTGTTCATTTGAAAGCAACCAGGACTCATTTCATAGATATTATTTGTATTTTTGCTGTAAGTGAAGAGGTAGCAGAAGGCAAGAAGCACAAAATTGCCACAGTTCAGTCGAGCAGAGATACAAAGGGTAATCTGCAGCTATTAAATAATAGACAAGAACGTTTCCCCTTTCAGCTGTTTCAGTCCTGCTAGGTGCAGGGAGCAATCCTAGCTCAACACAAGAACAGGGCAGGGAGAGCTGCGTAGACTAGACTTGAAGTAGCTCAAAAAACCCCAGGTGTTTGGATGTCAAATTTAGATGAACACTACACCCCTCTTGTAACACACTTTGCCTTTCTTTCTTTACAGATAGAGAAGCTGAAATATTTTCTTCTCTCTTAAATGTTGAAACTCCTTGAATTCATAGTGTCTAATTTCCACACTGCAATGGAGTGAGAAATAAAAAGGCCTTGACTGGTCAGAAAAGTAGAATATTGTCCTCATGGAGTTTTACAGCTGTTGTGCTTTTGCCCTCCAAGAAGCACAAGACCTCATGGGCATGACAAACGTGGGGAAGGGGCTGAACTCTACCCAAAATGTAGTGCAATAAATTCTTGGACAGGAGGCAGTTTAGGGACCATCTTTTTAGTATCTTTGACTCACAATGAGATGCAAGAAGATCTGTGTTACTGCTGCTTCTGTCAGTGCTAAGGAAACCTGGGCAGAGAGGCCTTCCTGAGTGCTCCTCACACCTGCAGCTGTACTACTGAGGTGCCCAGATGGTCACAGTGTCATAGAATAGTTTGAGTCAGAGAGGACCTTAAAGATCATCCAGTTCCAACCCCCCTGCCATGGGGGTATCGTGTTCAAACCCTGTTGTACATAAGCAGTGGCAGGGGAAACAGTGAAGTACAACATCAGTTTGAGCAGAAACAGGTACATGACAAATTCTTTTTTCTTCAATTTCTCTTGCATTTTTGTCAATCTAGGTTAATGAAATCAGAAGCAATATATAAGACCACAGATCTATAATTTCTAAGGTACCAGCTTTCTTTTAAATTTTCAGACTTCATGCACTTCAGATTCTCTACTGAATTGTTGTGAGATGTCACTAAGTAAAAGAATGCATTTGTATTGCTGTTCCCTGTGGGAATCAGCAGCACTTTTGCTCTAGTAAGCCAAAGTCCTAATTACACAGTGCCTAGTATCTGTTCTGAGTCACAGCATTTCACCAAGACAGCTAATTGGTCTGCTAATTATTAAGATGTTTCATTGTTGTCATGGCAACATATTTATCTTCCTTTGTTCTGCAGTAACAAAGGGATTAATGACTGTGATAATGAAATACAAGGATGTCAGAAAACAGATTGTTAAAATGTGGCAGAGCTACCAACATCTGCAAATCCAGGTATGTCAACCTCTACTGACTCTAACACGCAGCAATCCTATAGAAGACTTGCCTTCCATAACAGAACAAATGCATTTTGAGTGATAGCAAATTTGCATGTAAATCTAATATAAAACTGTATTTTCATGGGCATAATGACACTATAAAGCTGTTTTCTAACTCAGTAAGACTGTCACATCTGTGACAAGAGGGAGGGATAAGATGTTGATTTATGATATGACTTGAGATATATGAGGGATGACTTGGGTCTAGCTTTCCTAGATGACATTAGAGCAATCTTTTGGCCCAAAGCCAGAAAACAGCATGATCACTGATGATATTTAAAACAAAAGCTTCTCTTTGCAAACACTAGAATCAACATATATGTTTGTTTTTCTTTAACCTTAACAAACCCACGGACCTCACTTTTGCCTTCATGCCCCTTGGGAACTATATTGGAAAATGTTATCACAAATTATGGGAAAGGGTGGTTCTCAAAACCACAGAGCAAAATTATTTGCAAATGAGCACCACTTCAGCAGTTCTTCTGCTGTTGTGGTATCAAGGACTAAAGAGCTTTTAACAAACAGATCGTCTCATATTATCAGGGACTAGGAAAACTATGTAAGTGGTATCAAGGACTAAAGAGATTTTAACAAACAGATCTTCTCATATTATCAGGGACTAGGAAAAATATGTAGTTAAAACTAAACAGAAATGTATCATTTCCCCATACTAACATGTCTCTGTGTCAAATGTACAGTCTAAAAAATGTGATTGGGAACATTTGATTGTTGCTCTGATTGGCTTATTAAAATACTCATGCTTCAGTTACATTAATTTTATTAAGAGCTGATGTCTGCATGAAGCTATCACAGAGCTGGTTACCCTTTAATTTGCCCCATCTGAGGTGAGATCAGTGTACAGGAGGCAATCCAGAGAGAAAATGGTTCTTTCAGCCCCTTTGTCAATGGAATGCATTTAGAAGAGGGTACATCTGGATCCCTCAGGACTCCTGAGGACAACAAAATAGGGCTGCATTGAAGATCGTGCAAGAGAAGGCATGCTACCTCTGTATCTGCCTTTGGCTCCTTTTTATTTCGAGGCCCCCAGTCAAGGACTGGAGGGCCAGGTTTCAGTCATTTTGCTGGTACTTTGTTCCCAGCTGGGCTTAACACAAAAAAAAGGGAATAATTCAGAAACTTGGTCCAAATGTCCAAATATCATATATGATATTCTTGGTAGTAGCAATTAATATGGGCTGTTAAGTTAGGACTCCCTTATGGCAGGCAGGGTGTAGATAAAATATGTTTACAAACAGAAAGATCACCATTTCTGGGTAATTTTTAAGGCACATGTCATTCTAAACATGTTTTGTAAAAGGATGTAGAATTTTTCACCGAACTCTAAAAGAAGGTGGTGTTTCCAAGCACCCTGTTATTGTTTGGCTGTAGTAGTACAGTTACTGAAAGCACAGGAATTGTCCCTTTCAGAGGAGATGAACACTGATAATCTTGAAATAAAAAGAAACCTCCCTTACAAGGTTGCAGAAAGACTGGTATTGATAGGAGGTTTTGCTTATGTAAAACTGTCCTTGGCTTCACAAATATTTTGTGTTCGTTTAGATCCTAATCCAAATCACTCTAGATACCTGTGAGAATATTTTCACTGCCTGAAGTAGATCTGGAGCATATCCCTGGAACTTCTTTCTTCCCCTATGGTACCACTGAGACTATTCAAGTCCATTTGCCAGACAGCTATTTCTTCTGTCTATTCAGGAGGTCAGACAGTCTGAATACTTGGATTTGATGGATAAACTCTTTCAGTTAATATCCTTTTGGGTAGCAGTGAGCTGGGTAATGGGTTTACCATGCTAAATTGTACTGATTTTTGTTCCTCTGTGTTTAGTGCAATAGTTACAAGTTCAGATTTATCCAAGTGTTGTGGGAATGTTCCTCAGTGTTTGGATGCTGTGCTCCTGCTCTGAGCAGATGGATACAGTAGCAGGAACCAGACATAGCCAGAGTAATGTGGCTTAAAGCCAGCTGGACAGTCTCATAATTCAGGAGATGTTTCAGCTGCTAAAGTCAGTCAGACCTCCTCTGGCTGGAGTGCTCTCATTTTGGGAGCTTCATGAGGCTTCCTCCTGGCTCTTCTGTGAGGTTGGAATAGCTGGGAAAAAACACTTGAGCACTCACCACCACAACAAGTGCACTGAGCTGGCAAAACATTGTCTTTAGGGCTCCCAGGAAGCCAGCAAAGTATGTGCCACTCAGTGTAAAGCATGTGTCTTCTCCTCCTTTTGCCTCTAATTATTGTGAATGTGAGCCTTTTTTTGTTTGTTTCTTTGGGTTTAGTGGGTTTCCTCATTTGGTTGATTTTGGGATTTTTTTTTTTTAGTATGCATTTCCTTAGCAAACAGCATTTTGAGAAAAATGCTACTTCCTAAACGGTATCTGTACTGTAACTTATGGCATTGCACAATACTTCAGGTGCCTCTTTTAGCCTTAATTTTCCCAATCTTTGCTTATAAAACAATCCCCTTTTTATTTAGAATTTGATTATTGCAGTTCATTGTTTGTTTCCATGCATTAAATTTACTGACAGTGTTTGAAGAAAATCCCATTTGAATCTGTAGATCCCTTCATGTCTTCACTGCTTTTAAGTATAAAGTGGCACCTAATGCAAAATTAAATTTTGTGTCCTCCACTTTAATACTAAAGAAACCACTAAGGAATGCTGCGTGCTTGCCATTTATTTATAGACCTATATGGAATCTGTACAGCTTTAAGACCAGTCCATAAGGCTCTGCATTTTTAGACTGTAATTTTAATTCCTTAGTAATCAGCAAACCATGTCTTCAGGAAATGTGCCATCAACAATGAGTCTGTCATTTATTTGGTTGAAAGGGAAACTTTCATCTGCAAAAACAACTGATATATCTATAAAAAACATCTCTGTGAAAATCTAGACTTGCTGTTCTTTAAAAAAACACTGAAATATGTTTTTCTGTAATCAAAACCCAAAAGGGAAATGCTCAAAGTGGCAATATCTATCTTTACGAAGTAGTGGAAGATGTAGATTTCACTTTGATATGTTAAAACGATTATGTAACTGAAGGTACACTAAATGTTTCAGAATATTCTGTCCAATGTGGCTTCACATTCACAGGAGTGATGTTTTACCCATAACTTCTAAGAAACCTGTGAATAATCCTGGATGCTGGAAATTTCCAGCAGTGTTCCTGCTCTGCTTGTCCCTGGGAAAGGTGCCACGAGTGCGAGTGGCTCTGGCTTACCTTGATGAGGACGTGGGCTCCGTGATCTGCCTCTGCATCCGAGCATGTCTGATCAGGTGCTCCTTCAGCGCGTTCTGGACCTCTGCTGGAATATCAGGTGAAGTGTGGCTGATTTTCAGCGCAGCTTCAAGCACCTTGGTCGTAGCTTTCCCATTTTCTTTGACTTCCTTTTTCTCGCTGTTCTCCAAAACCTCCGTTGGAGCGCTGGAGTTGCTCTGCGGGACATTACTGGCACTGGAGGTGAGAGGTTTGCTCCTCCAGCAGGGCCAGCACAGCTTCCAAAAGACAAAAAGCGAGACCACCAGCAAGGCGAGCCCGCAGAAGCTGACGACGACTGCTAAGAGACTGACTGAGACATCTGCAAGGAATTAGAAACAAAAATCATCATGACAGACAAACATGCAGAGAAGAAAAATTTAAAACAACACATGCAAGGAGATAGAAGCATTTTTTATTATTATGTTTGTGTAAATCTTTAAAGTCCTATTTAAGATTGTGAGGGTTTTTTTTTTTTCCTTTTTGATATTTAAGCCTGTACCTTTAAGATGTTATTATTTTCCAATATCTGCTTCACAAACATTCCTTTAATTGTTCAGGCCAAGGGCCAGTATGTGTACCACTCACCACATACTCAGACATCCTTCTCAGGAATTTTCTTTCTCAGGAAGTAAGGAAACAATCCCAAAACCTCCCAGCCATTGTTGGCTAAAGGACTTCAAGATCAGTAGGTGAAAGAAATATTGACCTACTTTGCTAAAGAAAAGTTATTATAATCAAACAACAAATATCCTCACTGAGATTTAAAGCAAACACATAAGAATTCTGTTCCCAAATCTATATTTCCAATTTTGAAAACAAGTGCCTATATAGACAGCCTTCACCTTAGGGGTAAAGTACACATCCCTTTACTTACTGGCTTCAGGTGGAGGACACAGATGCTGAAAACATCAACAACTTTAATTTAAATCAGATGTTGTTGATGCTTAGATCTCTAGAACATACATTTAGAACATCAAGAAGGCGTTGATGAAAAACTTAAGCCACAGTCAACATTTTCTATCAGTACACATGAAGACAGATTAGATCTAAACTTCTAGGCTGATGCATAAATTTTTTTGAGATTTGCCAAACTTCTGGCTCCATGTGCCAGCTCCTTCAGAAACATTTAAACCCCAACATTTAGGCGTGAATAGGAACAAGATAAAGTCTGTCGTAAATGAGATTTCTGTGGTTAAATCATCAGCTCTGGACTAAGGCTGTGTCAGACCAAGATAACACAGATATATCAGTATCTTAAATTCTGCTGTGAAAATGCAGCTGGCTTCAGAGAACACAGTGAAATGCCCTGAGCTGTACAGAGATATGCTGTGCACTGAGCTACTCCTGCTGCCCTGTGTTTGATTTTTGCTGCCAAAACTGCTTAGATTATCCAATAGCCTGGCCAAAGATAGAAATACAGATTTCATACCAACAACATTCTGTGGACACACATGTATTTTAGGAGATGGTGGATCACCAGGACTGCCAGTTGAGCCCTAATTAGGAGTTTTATTCTATGTGACATGCTTCCATTTGATTTTTCCAGTATCCTGTAATTTTATAACCAAAAAAATTCCTTTCCTTTTCAAAACAGCCTTTTATATGCCTTAAAAGTATTCACTAAGCCCTGCTTAAATACCCCTCAAGTAATGGCTGCTGCTGTTTGTTACAAGAACTTTTGACAGTTTAACAGCTAATACTTTGTATCCATAACTCCAGGCTACAGGCTACTAAACTGAATCTCTGGAAAAGTGCAAAGAGAGCTTGAGCATATTTTTATAGATTTTCACATGGGCAAGAAGGTATGGATTAGTTCCATGAAACACGATGCACCTCACCAGTGCTTATGATAGTTGAAGACAGAAAGATGAAGCAGAATGATGAAGACAGAAAGCTGAAGGTGAAACTTTGGGAATGTTTTGTTTATTAATATATAATATCCAGATGCATCTGTCAGTAACAAACACTGAACTTACAGAATAATCCTCATGAAAATGTGTGAGAAAAGCAAAAATTTATAGAAAATGTTGTAGTCTGGAGATCATACCCTCCCAGTCAATTCTTAAGATCCAATTCCATAGATCAGGAATCAGAATAGGAAAATGATCATTCTTAATGGGTGGTTTGGATGTGCCCTTCTGTTTCAGCTGACAACAGACATTAATAGCAAGGAAAAAGGCTCTTGCATGACCGCAGTTCCAGGGAATGATCTGTAGTGAGCTGATTGACAGATGCCAGAGGCCCATCAAAGCTGCTCTGTCAGCCCCCTCCTCAGATGGACAGGGGAAAAAATATAACAAAAAACTTGTGGGTCAAGATAAGGACAGGGAGAGATCACTCAGCAATTACTGTCATGGGCAAAGCAGACTTGGGAAAATAAATTTATTACCCATCAAATCAAGGGTGACAAACAAAACCAAAACAAATAAAACACTTTTCTGCACTCCTCCCTTCTTCTGAGGCTCAGCTTCACTCCTGCTTTCTCTGCCTCCCCCCTCCAGCAGCACAGGGGGATGGGCAATGAGGCTGCATCAGTTCATCACTCAATGTCTCTGCTGCTCCATCCTCTGCAGGACTCCTCACACCCTTGCCCTGCTGCTCTCCTGCACTGTGTGGTCCCTGGCACAGGAGCCAGTCCTGCACAAACTCCAGTGGGAATCCTTTCCACACACTGCTCCAGGGTGTCCCTTCTGCTGGGAGAAGGGAGACTTCTCCCTTTAGGAGACTGCAGGATCAGGAGTCTTGCCAGCAAACCTTCTCCAGGGAGGGATCCTCTCTCTTTCCACAGGTCCACAGATCCTGCCAGGAGCCTTCTACAGGGTGGGCTCCTCACAGGGTCACGGCCTCCTTTGGGAATTCTCCTGCTTTGGGACTGGGATGCTCCACAGGCTGCAGTGGTGAAGACCTGCAGTGGGAGGCACCTCAGTCTCACACCTGGAGCTCCTCCTCCCCTCCTTCTTCCCAGACCATTGTGCCTGCAGAGCTGTTCCTCACAAATTCTGACTCCCCTCTTCCAGCTACTGATGCACAGCAGATTTTTTTTCTCCCTTCTTAAAAATGTTTTCCTTCAACCCCTGTGTCAGGGGCTCAGCCTAGACTATCCTGGAGCCAACTGGCCTGGGCTCTGCTGCACATGGGGGAAGCTTCCAGGAGCTTCTCACAGAAACCCCCCTCCTGCCAGACAAACCCCAAACCCAGCCAGACAAACCCAATGCACAGTCAAAAGTGAATTTAATGTATTCATGCAGAGGTAGACCTTCTTTGACAGATTGAACCAGACCAATTGTCAGGAAACCTGCCCAAATTTTTTTTCTGTTCTTAAAGGGTAACAAAAAGTAGAACTCTTGAAAATGTTAATGGTCTGCCAGAAAGAAATAAAAATTGAGAAAAAAAAAGAGAAGAAAACAAAAAAAAAATTCAATTTTGGGTGATTTGCGATATTGCCAGCTCAGTTTAGGGATGGTTGGCATAATTAGGTTATATTTTGAGAGGTAGAATTTAGAAGTGAAAATTGTAGAGTTTTTTTTTCCATTTGGAAAATGTTGAAGGAGGATGTTTTAACAACTTTGAAACTGCTGGAAACATTTCAAAACCAGAAATATGAAAATTGATCCCTTCCAGCAGAGCTTCAATTTGATGAATAGATACTATCAGCTGAAAAACATTGCATCAAAGCATTTCTAGCCAATTCTAATTTAAGTTTTTCACTGCAAGACATTTTTCAAGCCTTCAAATAACTTCTTGTCTCCTTTCAACACCTACTCCTGTACTTCAGCTTTCTCTAAGCTGTTTTTCTGCACTTCCATTAAGCTACTTCAAAGTTGAAAAAGCTCCTGAAATCTTCACAGAAAATATGTTTTATATCTGTAAAATAATCCCATGAAGCATCTAAAGTCTCACAAGCTGCGATAAGAAACTAATTCTATAAACAGTTGTAGTCTCAATTTTTTGCTATTTTATTAATAAATTAAACAGGCACACATATTGAATTTCATAGTGCAACAAATATAGGAAATATTTGAATTCCAAGAAAATTGACCAAAAAATAGTTCATTACGAAAAACTACTTAATCACATTTATTGACACAATTTCTATAAAGCAATCACAATGCCATAAAATAAAAATTGATATACAAAGCATATTGTTTCATGTCCTTCCTTCTGTCAGTCACCCAGTTGAGCAATTATGAGATATTTGTTGTTATGTGAAGACTGAAATCATCTGAAGAGCAGTAAAACCTTTTGTGTGTTAGGCTGGATGTGTCTCATATTAAGGATTTATAGGAAGTTTGGTTGAAGAATGTAAAACATTAAGAGGAAGGTTTGGAGCTTCTTCACACCCCTGCCAAGGAGTCCTGATAGGGAAGAAAAATGGGTACTGAAGGATAGATTTGCCATCAGACCACAGCTGCACTTCACATACAAAAGTATTAAGATGTAAAACTGGTGACAAATTCAAAAAGTGCCTAAGTTTTTAAGGGCAGAGGAGATAATGCTGAGACAGCATTAATTGTTAACATTGTGAATAATGTTCTCACTGGTCCAAAAGAAAACAAAAACGATATTGAACAACTCTTTCTGATCTGGTAAATGCAGATTGTCTGCAATGATTTAAATTTGCACAGAAAAGGATATCCCTCTGAAAATTCAGAATTATTACAGAATTATGCATTTCCCATTCTTGTTCTCATGCTTGGTATATTCCAGAATGTCAAGAAGATCTTTTTTCTCGTACCATCCTCTTCTGGTCAGTGGGAGATTTCCAACTATTTCATTTCACTCTTGGTGAACTCCCTTTACTGATGTCTGTTCTAAACATCTTATTTCTAGTGTTGATAAAACTTAATAACTGAAAGCATCCTGTTTCCTGTTTCATGGTTTGCATTTGAAACTACTCTTTCAAGATATGAAATTTTGGACAAATTTATATTTCTCATTTAAAAAAGGCATGTCTACTGAGAAGCCTTGAAAATTCTCTGTATTTTTATAAACATCCTGTGATACATTTCTACCATAAAATCTCCTTGATAGCCAGTCTTTTTCATCAGGCAAGTATTTCAGAATCATCCCCATGTGTCATTCTTTCTTTTTTTCTTTTCTGGATGCTAAGTAATGTCTTGAACATTGGGTTTGGTAATATGGATTTAAAAATTTTTTTGTTTAGAACTTGCCTCAGAAAAATTCTGCCCATGGATCCATTTGCAAGCATGCACATTGGCAGACTTCCATTTCAAAACCAAATTAAGGTGACTTACATTTTAGGCAACATATGCCTCATGAGGCTGAATTTGGAAAAACATACTCCACAAGCCTGTGATC